TCAAAGCTTAATAATATACATAGTTTTCACATTTCTCAAACTTTAAGAGTACAAAAGAGGTAACTTGGATTAAGTACAAGATAGCATTTTCCAAAAGTGACATATGCTACATTTTGGTACAAATGCTATTTAGTACAAATAGCCCTCGCAAAAGTTTCTCACTTGAGCTTAATTGCCAACTGTAAAAACACTTTACAGATTGTTTTATAACTGTTGTTTCTTAAAAATATCATGTAAGAAATAAACAAAGAAAGAATGAATGTACGGTAAATCCATATACTGTATATTGTAGTCAGGGGCAGATTTAACCGATAAGCGAGGTAAGCCTGGGGAATTAGAGGGCCCCGACTAATGCCAAGAAGCCTATTAATTGCATAGCTCTTTTTATTACATTTTATATCCTATGTTGTAAAATCTTTCTATAACCATTAGTAATTCAATATTATTATTTCTTTTCAAAGCATGAATAGTGGGCTGTTCCTTCCATACTGCACATACAAATATTGAAAACTAATCACAAAAATGGCTAATTTACTGTACATAGTTATATAAAGATACATAGTTTATATATACTAATTATACATATATATATATATTGATTGATTAATTAATTGATTGATTTTCAAAACTAGGGCCCCAAACCTGGAATTGCTTAGGGCCCCCAGATCAGTCCACCCCTTAGTAATATGACGCTGCTTTACACCATTGCTGGTTCAAAAAATAGAATGTAGCTGTTGTCAAGCTATAGTCTGTATATTTACTTGAAAAAGTCGCAAGCTATTAGAAAAGCAAATAGCTGGGCTATTGCCAAGGTACTGAAAACAATGTAACTTAGTAGCTAAACTACTTGTAGCTTGCTTGTCTAGGTGAGTCTCAGTGAATTATGCTGTAAACAGTTTCAATTGAGCAGAAACACGTTAGTTGTAAACTAAAATTAAGAGATTATTTTTGTTTTCAAAAACTCCTGTATTAACATCTCATTCTGTTGTCACTTTCTATTTTGTTAGACTGAAAATCAAGAATCTACATGAAATGAACCAACGTACAGTGAAAAAAAAACATGTTTAAGCCGCTGGGGGCAGTATAACAATTATAACAACTATGCTCTGTGTTAATCCATATTTCTAACAGCGAGTAGGCTAATACACAAAAAGACAGACTGTGATTTATGTTGTAAGACAAAATTAAAAAACTTAGTTGGTGTAAATGGTTTATTTACAGACCTGATGTTACACTAAACAAACAACACCTTATGTAAAATAAATGTTAATGTTCAAGTGATAATTCTGATTTAGGATTCAGGAGGATTTAGCAAATCTTTATGGTCTGCAGTGCACAAACTGATGTTGAGCTTGTTGAACTGAAGTAGCGCTTTAGCAACATGTACTAGTGCTACGGAAGCAAGTCTCATTCTTTTAAAAATACCTGAATCGTAAATGAATATTTGGCTCAATTTTAAAAAATAAATAAATAAAATCCTCCTTGTTATTTTATGAAAATGGGAAATGCACATTAAAGCAAAGAATTAGGCCTAGTTAAATCACAATGTAGTTTTTGCTTGACATTTTGAACTTATATATTTTTATCTGTTGTAAATAATAAATATTAAAATATTAATTCATATTGTTAAGAAATACACTCTCATAAATAGAGCTAAAACCTGTCCAGGTTGGCGTCCTTTTGAAAGTACTAATGCACTTACAAGTTTAAGATACAGTAAAACTGAAAACTTTTAACATTTTAAACATTTCACAGCTCACAAGAATAAAACAAAGCTCTCTTCCCACCCTATACTGCCGTATGGAAGATGTACATTTTTATAAGGAGAGCAACACACCCTATACATAATTAACCGAACAAGCCAACAAAGAGCTCAGTTTGAGATTCTTTGATGAGAGGTCACTGTGAGAAAAACTGAAACTCAAAGGAAGTGTCTGTCTACTAAAGGTATGCATTGTAGGTTATGTTTTTTGGTAGTCTATCAACCTAAAAATAATGGTCTTTGTCATGTCGAATTATAAGCAAAATGACAAGTTTGTTGTCATTTCTCAGCCTTTGGTGGAAAACCAAGTAAGAGGATTAAAAGAATCTCTGTTTGATGTTGCATATATTGCCTATAATGTGAATATAGAGATAGATGGTAAATACTGACTTAGGACTTGTAAACTATTCCAATTGTTCTGAAGTAATCAGGTTTGGGCAAAAGTACATTGAAATGTATTTAATAATAAAGTACTAAATACCTCAATTTTACATTTATCAAAATAAACTACAAAATACAGCAGTCACAAATTTATCCAAATAAAATACTGTATTTTTTATTTTAAAAATACTACTAAATACTTTTACAAAGAGCATGCCATTTCTTTACAAAAATCTTCCATCAATGAGACCTATTTGATCAACCACTTCACCATTAAACTGACTTAGAGCAGTAAATATTGTTTGATAGCAAATGTGGCCAGTAAAATTGCCATAATCTCTGTACAATGATTATTCAGCCTCTCAATATTTTAAAGGGTGTTAAATAAAGCGTTAATTATATATATATATATATATATATATATATATATATTTTTTTTTTTTTTTTTTTTTTTACAGAATTTTTCAGAAATCTATTTTTTTTTTTTTTTTTTTGCTATTGAACTGTGCATTACTCAATGTAAAAACTGCTTTAGGGGGGTTTGATTATTATATATTTGTGTTCATATGCTGTAACACCTTAAGGCTTACATTCTCCCTCTTCATTAACTATACAGACCAGCTGATCAACTACTGACATTTGAAACAGCCAATAAGGTATTGTAGGAACTTTAGGACTTATTTTTATGCAGTTTGTTTTAACGACAAAAAATTGGCATCAGCAACTATTATAATGTGTTCAGTATATCTTTCTCCTAAGATTTTTTTAATTCTTTTTTTTTTTTTTTAATGGAAGTGTCAATAACATCCAAAGCACCAATCAGAGTGTGCATTTATATGAAGTAGATTGATGTAGATTTCTTACAAAAGTCAAGTGTTTTACAGAATTTTAAAAATACAAAAAATCAAAAATACAAGACACTAAAGTATTTTGATATAAAATATTAAGCCATTTTCATCAGCCCTATCAAATACAAATTACAAAATACAATTTTGTATTTTAAATATGTATTTGAAATACATATAGGCCTAAATACTTCCCATCCCTGGAAGTTATGAAATAGATTTGCGTGTGTTAAACTGTATAACTTTAGAGAAAATTTGAATATATAAATTGTAGTTTATATACATGTATATATAAACTATATTAATAAAATATAGTTTACTTTATCTACTGTAGTTAAATAAAAAAATTATGTCATTACACCTTCACTTTTTTCAAACCTGTTTGACTTTCTTTAATATTTTGAAGAAATTGATGGTAGTACATGAGCCATTGACTATGGTATTTTTTATTTATTTATTATTTTTTCTAAAATGGATGTCAGTGGTTACAGGAGGTTCTTAGTTTTTTTTTTTTTTAATTTTCTTTAGTGTTCAACAGAATAAAAGGTTTGGAAACATTTTACGGTGAGTAAATGATTAAGTTTTACTTTTATGGGTGAAATGTCCCTTTATTATACCAAAAAGCCATTAATTAGTTAAAATGGCAGAGCCTACTACTTATTTCCTGAAAACATCCAATAATATCCAGCTGCAGACCCGCAGAACCACACACGTTTTAGGCACACACAATCTAGGACACACAATCTAGGCAAACCATATATGGTTATGACTGATGTTAAAGTTATAACGTCTTTTTGGACATCGTCATCGATATATTTTGATATATTTGATTAATAAATATTGTACACAATAAACAATAGTGTTTACTTTACTTTATTTCACAAATATTGCGATTGAGACGGCCGAATGGGGAGCATTGTTTCCGATCGCCATTCAATATAATAGAGTGAACAGTTTTTAATCAGTCATTATAGCTGATCAGTCATTATTATCTGACAATAATATGGCAGATACTCGTTTGCTGGCTTTGCTGAATGATCTCATTTGGACAGGTTTAATTTATATAATGGATTAATTTATGATGAAGGAAATAATAGCAAGTTAAGATAGGCAATAATACATTATATGTCATAAAAATATTTTTATATGTAACAAATGTATAACACTATATTAATATTTTACTCAAGCGGTGTTTATTAGCTTAATTTTCCAATAACCTTTTAATTAATGATTTCCCACATTTAATACTCTTAATAAAACTATTAATAAAATATTAACTATTAATAAAAAAAATCATAAGTGTATACACACACACACACACACATATATATATATATATATATATATATATATATATATATATATATATATATATATATATATATATATATATATATATATATATAACAGCTTTAACAGTGACAGTTTAGTAAAAGATAGTAGTTTATATATAAACTTATAATTATAATCAGTTAAGATAATCAGTTTCTAACTATATTGTTTAAATGGTTAACTATAGTAGGCTAATTTATTTTAAAGTGACATTATTGTTTGCTTTTTATATTTTACAACAACGTGATTTTAACGAAGTATGATAATATTAAGAGCTTGAATTAGTTTATTACACTTAATCCATCAATTAGACGGTCTATTATGTTTTCTTTGTGTATATGGACACATGAATAAAGTCATAAGTGTCTTTAACCAATTATTTTTATTGACATAATTTAAGTTCAGAAACTGCAGAGACTTTAAAATGATCGTTACGATATAATAATAAAATTGACTGAAATGGGAAACCATATTTGTGAAATTCAATAGGTAGCGATAATGCTAAAGAGTTAGTTACCATTTATGGTTTGCCTAGATTGTGTGTCCTAGATTGTGTGTGCCTCAAACGTGTGTGGTTCTGCGGGCCTGCAGCTGGATATATCTCAAAACATTAGCAGTCGAAATCATTTTGGAAATTAGCAAACAAGTGCAAAACGCCGTGACGTTGAGAACCGGACGTGGTGACGCATAAACTCGCCCTTCTTTACGTGCGCGTTCTCGAGTGAGCTCCGAGTCCGAACAAATAGAGGACGACTAGGTTCCTCTGAAGGCTTTCTCCATTTTCTTTTTTCATCTCGAACAGGCCCAAAATTTTCCTTTTAGATTTTAATAACTCCTCAGCATGGAAAAGAAGCTCTTTGGCGCTGTTTTGGTCATTTGTATCGGCTGGTTTCAAGCCGAAGCTATGACAGGTAAGGACGTCTGCTTTTTCTGTTGATCGTGTTAGCTCGTGAGCTCGTTTTTCACACAAGGCGTTTGTTGACAGAAACACGACTCGGACGACAGATTTTACATTCACATTGTTTTTACTTTACTATAAAGCAATATACATCGTTAGTGAACGTTTGTAACGATTTGAAAATTGGAAAATCGTCGGGAATCTGTCGCGCACGAGCGACCGCTCTCGCACATTTAGTCAAACTATAAATCAACAGCTGATGTTTAAGTTAAAGTAGTTGTTTTTCTCCTTGATGCTCTTTCATACTCTCCGCAAACTATTTGTTTGTCACAAGTAATTATATTTTAAATGTTTATATTGAAAAATGTTTAAGGTTACGTTTACCACACTCAACCCCATCACGTGGATTTGCTCTGCTTTCATCCAAAATAACCTTTAATCCCCAAGCATTGGGTTTTGTAACCACCTGAGTTACACATTTTCCAAACTGTAGAAGATCCCTTAGTTGATATTTAATTATTTCAGGAATGGCTCATCCAAACTTTTCCAAATGAAGTATTAATATTTGTCCCTATTCATGCAGGTCAGTTACTCCAGTAAATGATGTGTAAAACCTGGTAAGCAGCAGGCAATGATGACAACCGGTGCAGACTAGTTTTTGGAGGCCTCCTGTCAAGTTTTGTAAACAGGAGGAGCCTGTAATCATTTATAATACAAGCTGGGGAAGGCAAAATATGTTTCATCCAATCATTTGACAAAGCAAGCAGCAATTTTCATCTTTCAGGCCTCCCTTGTTCCGTAAAAGGCTCAGCTTAAGCTTATTATATTGTTCCATCACTGGAAATGGCAATAATCTATGCAAACCTACTGAACTTGAGCATGCAACGTAGTACACTCACTGTAATGAAAGTTTAGTGTTTAATTGGAAATCTAATACTGTGAAATTTATTAAAATATTATTCCTACCCTTTCAGTAAAATCAATTGCTTAATGATGAATGCGAGTGATTGTTTTCTAGTCTGGCTCCATCATAATTTGTTTACTCCTCCTGAAGCAACAGCTGATGAATGACATGGTCGCAAATCCCAACATAATCTGCTTCATGGTCCTCTTTAGAAACAGAGCTTTAAACACTCTAGGAGGTGCTTTTCAGCACGTAAGCATTGATGCTTTCTCAAAACAACACAGCTTGTGCAAGAACAGGTTTACTCATGCAGTTCTAGAGTTAGCACATGCGCTATGGCAGAACACCAAAGCTGGATGCAAAGCTAGCATCTCCATATCAGAATTAAAATGGGGGTTTCCCCTGAGTATTCATCTTCAGCCCAGCTCAATAAATTGGGTTAGAGCAAACATGCAGCTATTTTGTTAAAGCGTGACAGTTTTTGTTGATGCCGCTGGCAGTCATTTAACATAAAAAAATGTTATTTGTCAGCATGTACCCCGCATGATGGGTGGGATTGATTTGCCCTTCAAATTTAATTACTCATGAAATTGTAGGCATATGTGTAATTATACACTTTCCAAACTTACCTGAAACACTAGTTTACTGACAGCAATTGCTACTTTTCCCCTATAACATTTATTATAAATGACTATTATTATTATTTTTTTTAGAAATTCTCAATTTTTATTTTTCTACATTTTATGGTGCCAAAACCACAAATTACTAAAAGGGCCACGAAACCACCCCTGTCTCAGCAGGGTGATTTCACAGCTGTAGTTTGGGAGAAAAAAAAAAAAAGGTCAGGAAATTGGAAAGGGGTTGAATCCAGCTTTAAGTGTTGAGTGGCGAAAGAGGGAAAGGTTTGCATGAAAAAGGGAGTTTCATTACATGCACTACAGCAACACAAACACAGATGCGGGGGAGATAGACAGTGATTCAGAGAGCAGCATTTACAAATCTGAGAGCTGTGTGGAAGTGGTGCATTTTCAGACCATAATATTAAAGTGATATTACTGTAAACTTGGTAACCAAGTCATTTTGTTTAAGGTGTGTCTTTAAGAGTACTGCTGACAATACTAACTAACTTTGCCATCTGAATAAACATAAACAAATAACACTGATCACACATTTACCAATTCTGTAGAGACAGAACAATTAACACAAACTGGAGCCATGCTTTTTTATTTTTATTTATTTTTTTTTTAAAACGAGTGGCAAATCCAGATTTCCAAATTCTAAAAGCTCTCGGGTAAAAAAAAGATGTTCCCACAAGTGTATGGATGTGTGCATACACAATGTATGGTCGTGTAGATTAAATGTTCTTTAGGAAATAGTTTTCAACTTTTATCAGCATTTAATCATGGGCTTGAACCAAGAAAACTAATGAAACGAGTGACCTTGGGGTCAATGCTGCTTCTGTTGGCTTGTGAGAAAGTGAACTTATTGACAAGAACAGAACAGGCCATGTTAATTATCTAGTAGTGGCAGACTTTGTACCGACTGATGGATTTTGTACTTTGTTCTGTTATTTACAGTTTAGACTCAACATTTACTCAATATATCTTATGGTAATGTTAAATCTAAGGACTTGTATATACAAATATGTTCTTCAGTTCAATTTAGAGCTTGTTTATAGGAGTAATTTTGAATTTGTGACTCCTGGGCCACTCACTTAAACGTTTGAGGTGACCTTTCATAATGGTCAAATGGTGGATGATGCCTGTTCTTCTTTTAAAAGGGCACATGTTATTTCAGGCCTAAAGCATGTGCGCAGTGCCACTGCTCTGACTGATGTTGATTGTGGACATCTATCCTGGCTAACATGCAGAGATTCCTCCCTCAGCAGTGGTCAAGAAAGGGAGTAGTACCTTACTTTTTTTTTTTTTTTTTTAACCAAACACTGTGAAAACATGCTACGCTGCAGGAAGCGACAACGGGTCTGTGGGGGATCTCAAAGGGTTCTGGTCATTGATGTGAAGGCTTGTTGTTCAAGCTGCTGCGCACGTACTTCCATGTCTTTCAGGGTGTGTATTATTCCAAAGTGATCAGAAGAATTCCGATGATTTTCTCCATGGGGGATTAGCACAGTACAGCCCTGCCTTTCCTCCAGAGAACATGCTCAAATGACATAAACTGCTTTAGAGTGGTTCTAGAGTGGGGGTTTGTTCATTTGGCTTCGTTTGCATGTTCATTTGCATTTTTCATAATCAAAAGAAAGTCTTGATGTTTTCTCAACTTGAAATCACCCTCCTGTCTTACCAAGTCTGTATGATCATTCTGTCAAACACTCATATATTAGGGGCTGCATTGCCATCTTGGTTAAAAACAATGAAGGGGGTGGGGTGTTTAAGATCACAATAATATTGCATTTATAGGATTGATAGTCACTTGATTATCTAGTCAAATATATATTTTGTGCTTTAGACTGACAAAATCAGACTTGCAGGGTTGGAATGACATGATGGCTCCGTTTTTATTTTAAGTAAACCATCCTTAAGCCTTAACCATTACTTCATTTTGTGTGTGTGATTGGTTTCATTTGTTCTCATTTCATTTTTAAATTAGCTAAGCTTTGATTTTTTTTTTTTTTTTTTTTTTAATGCATGCTTCAGCTCATTGTCTTTTTAAAATGCTTTTAATGTTCTTCAGTTTGGTTTTTATGTCATGATGTCTTGCATCATGATGCTCAATTATTTGTTTCTTATGTATGTCCTTTGTTTTTCATTTCTAACATTTTTCTCTCTTTTTCTCTTCTGCCATTTCTCTTCTTTTTTTTTTGCCTGCCATTCTGCTAATCATTAATCATATCATCTGAATGAACTGTCCACCCTTTATGTAAATCACACTCTCATCAATCGAATGTCCAGCGGGCTTCATAAAATCGCCTTTGTCTCAGATGAAACTCATTGAAGACAATGCAGAGCTGGATTGCGAGGTCATAGGGAATCCCATCCCTGAAGTTCAGTGGTGGTTTATTGAGGGCGAGGAGCCAGATGAAATCATCACTCAGCTGTTTGATGGTGCAAGAGAGGATCGCGTTCACATCAACGCCACCTATATTGACCACGCCACCAGCTCGCTCATCCTCACCAACCTAACGTTCAACGACACAGGCGTTTATGAGTGCCGTGCCTCAAACGACCCCGACCGCAACGACCTCAGGACCCCGCCAAAAGTCAAGTGGATTCGCTCACAAGCGAACGTTATAGTGTTTGAACGTGAGTTACGTTGTGGAAACGCAGCGTCTCCATTAGTGTAGAAAAGGAAGTCCTGTAGTTTCAGATCCTCAGTCCTTCGTCTTGCCCTCTGCCTTCCTTTTTTCCTTTTGACCAGAGACCAGATTACACTTCTACACTAGCAAGGTTATTTCTTATCAATCGGCTGCCTTATGGGCATGTCACTGCCTAGAGCTTGTGAAATGTAGTTGAACCTCTTAAAGAAATTGCATTGGTCCGTCGATGCCAGGTGTAAATGCCCCGATTTACTTAGTGATAAAAAAAAAAAAAGTGGTGTGATATTTCACAAATCATACATGAATACATACTGTAATTTTCATAGATAAAAGTTTGATACAGCTTGCCAAAGCAAAGATTTACTTTGGGTAGTTGATGCCTTTTTGAACTACCATTGGTCTGAGGTTGATCAATAAATAGCTGTGGCTTCAGGCTTTCCACAAACATTTGATGCTTATTTCTTTTTTTTAGATTGTGTAGCACACATTTATCAAAACCATGCTCAGCCGTTTATGGTGTCAGGAAGTCTAACAATGGTATACTTCTATTTGGGGATATTACAATTTTGTATCTCTGAATAAGGAGCTAAATTAATTTGCTGTGAGGATATTGGGGCCTTCAAATTCAGTGGCAAGCATTTCTGAAAAAGGTTTCTGATTATGTTTTATTCCACTGAACGCATCCTTTGAGAATCTTCTGTTTTTCATAACCTCATAAGTTCTTTAAACCAGTTTAAAAACTGTTAAGAACTAGTTTAACAACGTTAATAATCCCACCAAGGGCAATTAAATTAGGGCAGTAGCATCATAATATAACAAACACGTAAAGAGACGAATCACTTAGAAATAATATTAGAAAACACACATTTGCTAAGTTTGTTGCTGGTTTCTTCTTCCCTTCTGTTTTTTTGTCATCTCACTCAATGTTTCCTTCTAGCTCACAGCTCAAATACACCAGCACCTCTCCCTTTGTAGAGTGCAATGTGCATTTTGGTGCACATTGTGGTGAACATCTGGGCAGAAATGTTCTGATCCTTTTGTAACTATATTTTGTTTGCGAAAATTTTACTATTATAGTGCTGCAGCAAATTCAGAAGTTGCTCCTTTCAAAGGATGTGCAACTGTGAGCTGTCATAATGCTACGAAAGCTGATGTGAACGACTGTTTAACTTTTCTACTGTATTAATTCCTCACCAGGTGCAACCATCATGACTAGTCCCGAGGTGAACAATGCGACCTCGGCAACTCTGAGCTGCAACCTGACCAACCCTTCTTCTCCAATCAAAGGCCACTATTGGGTCAAGAATGGAAAGAAAATCGAAGAATCGTATTCGACAAATACAGACTCCTATGCTGAACACTTGTATGTTCTTCACCTCTTTGTAAACTTAGACTGAAGTGCAATATTATTCTGATGATCTCTTTCCCTGATTTAGTGTTTAATTATCTATCCATGCTCATTTGGTATAGTGCGGATTTTTCTGTTTGAGCGTGACTTTCATCAGCAGCAGCAGTAGTGTTATTTAAGAGCCTTGGGCACTCCACATTAACTGACCTTAATTCCCATTAGAGCTGCTGGGTCGGAAAAATATCTATGGGGATGCCTGTGTGATGTACTGCCAAAGCTGTTTGTCATAGTTCATATTTGCTCTACTGTCCTTCGATCTTTAAAGCCCCTAATATAATTCAAATGAAATCATACAACAAAAGTTAAATGATGTCATTTCGAACACAATCTAGCCAAAACCAAGTTAGTTGCTGCAGTTCAAAACAGCACACGAAAGTAAACTACCTGGGAGTTCTTTTTGGCTCCTGAGCACTTTTGAGCATTGGCGATTTATGGAATCAGTGGGCATGTTTTGGAACTTATCTTTTTGTAATTCAGTTTTATTCTATTTATTATAATTACTACATTTTTTTTTGATTATCTACAGAGGTCAAAATGAACAGCCAAACCAGAAACACCAATTTAGCAACGTGAATACACTGGAGGTGTTTGCAGTAGCCGAGCTGGTGCAGATATGCACCTGTACGATTGTTGACAGAGTTATTATAGATTCTGATTGAGTCACCCTACATCTTTAAAGTTTTGAACAATTCTATGAGTGCTAACAGCGCTATTTGCTGTCTTTGTGGCAAATAAAACTGTCAATTTGTTGTGCTTCTTATCTGATATGTCACAGGCTGGAGAAGGCTGTCTGATATTTACAAAATGTTTTATCTCACCAACACTTTGTTTGGGGTACACAAGAGCAGCGTGACATATTTGCAGCCCTGTCCATTTTAGTTTTAGTGTTGGAGTGTTTAAAAACTGCATGCCATCACTGTATATCAAATGTTTTTTGTTTTGTTTTTTATTATATGAAGGCCTTAATTATATTGTAGCAGGACTCCCCATTGGCACAATTCTTGATAGTGTTGGTTGTTTTAGATTTTTGCATCTTACAGTGTTTTCTTTCTATGGCAGCATTGAAAAAGCTGATTATCATCATTCCGGAATATATACCTGTGTCTTCCTAACAGAACCTCAGGCCAATGCCACAATTGAAGTTAAAGGTAAGAGCGTTTAGGGGATGCTTTATCTGTTATGTAATCTTTTTGTTTTAATGCATCCATCTTTTTACTTTATGTGAATTTTGAGAAAAGCTTCAATTGAACTTTAATGCTTTTAAAAATGTGTACAGTGAGAGGGCTTCACCTTACAGATCATCCATCTGACATTAAAAAGAAGCTTTAGTATTAACAAATTAGCCCCAATTATTGAGGGGAGACTCCAGATCAATATTACAGATGTTTATTTAATATTGTTGCACTGTAGGAAATGCAAAGAGAATTTAATCTTGAGGAACTGCTGTAGTAACTAAAAGCTTTGACCATATACAGTTGAAGTCAAAATTGTTAGCCCCCGTTTATTTATTTATTTTTTCAGAATTTCAGTTTAATGGAAGATTTTTTTTTCCAACACTTCTAAACATGGTTAACTCATTTCTAGTAACTGATTCATTCTATCTTTTCTATGATAATGGTAAATGATATTTTACAAGATATTTTTCAAGACACTTCTATACAGCTTAAAGTGACATTTTAAAGGTTTAAGTAGGATAATTAGGTTAAGTAGGTAGGTTAAGGTAATTAGGCAAGCTATTGTATAACAATGGTTTGTTCTGTAGACTATCGAAAAATTATAGCTTAAACAGGCTAATAATTTTGACCTTTTATAAAAAGGTTTATAAAAAATTAAAAACTGCTTTAATTTCATCCAAAATAAAACTGGTAAGACTTTCTCCACAAGAACAAATATTATCAGACATGCTGTGAACATTTCCTTGCTCTGTTAATCATCATTTGGGAAATATTTTAAAAAATCTAAATCAAAGTGGGCTGATAATTCTGACTTCAACTGTATATCCTTTTTAATTGCCACTTTTTTTTTAATGCTAGTTTCCCAAACCAGGAGTGCAATCTATAATTGGAAAAATGTTGCAAACAAGGGTGTATTGTGCTTCTCATCCATTGTTATGTTCTTCCTGTTAGCTTTGCCGCACATAAAAGCTTCCAAAAGCTCAGAGAACGCTAATGAGAAAGACAAGGCTGTGCTGAGCTGTGGAAGTCAAGGATACCCATCCCCTACTGACTGGAGCTGGTTCAAGCTTCCTGATGCAGGAGAACGGGTAAATAAATGCTTTGTGAATTGTAATGTGAGAGCGATACCTGACCTTGTGGTTTGAAGGTTGGTTCATGTTGCATAGGTGTGTAAAACGTCATTTGGGTTTATGAACAAGGTGTTGATTTAATGTTGCTTTTGGGTCTGTTGAATGACAGGAATTGTCGAGCAGATTCAACTGATATGGGTCAGAAAACGATTTTAAAAAGAATTTTATGAACTGTTTACTTGAAATTTGCTACATAGGTTTTTAAAGACCGTTATTTTGGTTTGGACAGTTTATTGGGTTAAGATTAGAGCAATGCATTATATTTTGAAGCATTCTAGTCAGTACTAGTTTTATATGCTATTATGGAAATATAATTCATTAGCATTTTTTCACCAATTTATATATAAGTACAACTGAGTTGTTTTCATTCTGTATTGTCCTTATCAGATTTTCCATTTTAAAAGTCTTTTTCAAGTGGCATAAAATATAATGATATAAGAGCACATTTCTGTCATGTTAAGACCAGATAAACTATTCAATTAAATTTTTTTAATGGATATGAAGCCACTGTATTTGTCAAAGGGGGAGCAATGTGCACCCCTCCAAATGGTGTTTAGTCACATACTGTAAGTCATATTTTACTCAAAATGGTAATTCTGTCTTTATGTAATGACGTTCGCAGCCACAATCACATGTGAGCTGTGCGCTCCCTGTATGATGTCTACTTTAGCGAACAGAACCTGCTTAGGCTGTGAATAACGGGTAATATAGTTGTAAATATGATAAGCGTACTCTGCAGTGAAAGTGAAACCAAAAGCACGCAAATCATTTACATTATCTTATCCACCATTCCAATCTATACAAAATATAGCATTTTAAGCAACAGTAGACCTACACAAAGGATTACTTTTATTAGTTTTGTTATTATATGTTTGAGAAATAACTACTATAATAATGATAATAGGCTATTCATATTAACCTATATTTTACTGAATTGTGAGATAATCATACAATGGTTGGGGAAACACTGAAAATAATGCAAGTTGTTCTATTAGTCAAGTTGTGGTGTTCTTTAAATTACTGAATTTCTGAAAATATTTACAGTATAATTATGATTACAGTTTTCTCCAGTCTTTAATTGCACCCCCTTGATCACACAGACCCCCATCTTTAATGGCACTGATGATAAGTATGAGATCAAGAGCACCCCCAACAAGACCACACTGTATGTCAAAGACCTGGACATCAACGAGGACATGGGCTTCTACCAGTGTCAAGGCACCAGTGAGGTTGGCACTGGTACAGACGACATCCAGCTGCGTGTGCGGAGTCAGCTGGCCGCTCTCTGGCCTTTCCTCGGGATCGTGGCTGAGGTCATCATCCTCATCACCATCATCTTCGTCTACGAGAAGAGAAGAAAGCCTGATGAGATCAATGACGGTGCGTAACTCTTAACTGTTCGCGCCACAATGATTTCTCACTTACACTTTTCGTCATCGTACAATGACCAGTGAATGTAATTCTTTAATTTTTGTTTTTGTTGATGACCTCGTAATGGTGCAAGATCCTATTTCAGTTTGAGTTGGTATGTTTCTTTTATTTGCCTGTAGTTTGTGGCTGTGCTCTATTTTTATGATTTTTATTGTTTATTTCTCTGTTCGCTGCTGCTTTTCCGTTGTGGTAAGTGTTCAAAAACTGCATGTCAGACTGAAGTGGATTTGCTGCGACGTAGGGCTGCACAATATATTGTAATGAAATCGCAAAAGTGGTGTTTTTCATACACATCTTGTCAGGAAAGAGTTCTCTGATTGATATTTAGTCTCTTTCAATGGGTAAAGGGTCCACAATGTCTTTTAATAGCTTTCTTTAACTTTAAAATAATAATAATAATAATAATGCTATGCCGTTATCTCTGCTTGGAACACTGACATTTTTTTTAACAGATTATTCTGTGAAAGAAGCCACATCTCACAGGATTCTTTTCAGACACTCGACTGAAATTAATGTGAGCTTAGAGTAAAAAATAATAATAATTTCTCTCTATTTAAAATTACATTAGTCTTATATTTATCATGTCTAAGGTCGAATGCATGTTTTCCTGGGCCACAAAAATAATTTATCATTTATTGTTATTAATTTATTTTTACATTTACCTCTGCTTATTTGGATGATCTAAAAGCTATTATCTCAATTCCTGAATGCATAGCAGGTAAATTGGGCAAGGTCGCACAAAAATAACGGACAAATTCTTTAACTTTGACTGTGGTATGAGCCGTACAAACCACCCGAACTCCCCCTGGCTATGTGCTTGAGCTGGCATTGTCACAAAACAGTTAATATATTTATTTTTTGTCTGATTAAAATGGTTGGCAATTTTGAAAACAGTGCTGGAGGTTTGCTACTGATCACAGAACCGGATTTACTGACAAAGTGTGCATGACTATCGCCTTCGATTTAATTGTGCAGCCTTCCTGCAGAGGGTGGTTTTTGGGAGTTTGAGTGCTCTCACTGATAGGCTTGAAAATGTGCAACTCTTTCACTGGCGCTTTGTGTTAAAACTGTGAAGATTAGCTTGAAGACAAGACTCCTCTTTGCTGTTTCTGTAGCCAGTGAAAGTGTTCGGCTGAGTCTGACATACTGCAGTTCAGAATGGGTTTTAAAGGTTGAGGTGTTATGCATAATACCCAAGTTGATATTTCAGATGGGTGGTGTTATATTGCCTTGCATGATCTCCGCATCGTCTCATTGCATGTTAATATTTTGAAAAAGGCAGCTATAACTGATGTATAATGCCAACTTTACTTTGGTTTTTGTGGTTCTGAGTGTTTGGACATGCTCTCTGCATGACAACCTGGGCAAATGTCTGTTTACATTTCAGCTGTGTAAAAACTACAAATATGTTTGGTTGTTAACTTGTTTTATTTAAGGTTCCTTTCTGATTGTCAAAGTGTCTGAAGCACAACCTTACCAGTAGTTCAGTCTTTTAATAGTCAGATGTAGTGACTCAAAATCCCCATCAAATTGAAATGAATAGTTTTTACTTTGTCAAAAACGTTTATTTGTTTCACAATAAGTGTGCACCTATTTTTTTGTGCATATAAATTAAAAGCTTTTTTTTTTTTTTTTTCTTCACTAAAACATCCAGTGAACTCTAGAACAGTTTTATATATTTTGCTAACTTGTATACATTCTAATCCAAGGAAATGCACAATTTTTAACTAGTCACATGAACCGTTTCCTGTGTGGCCATGTCCTGCATCCCCTATTTGTAGTTTGGTTTTATGGAAAATTTCATGATTTCACACTCTTAGGCCTTGTTTACACTAATGCGTTTTAGTTTTAAATCAGCGTTTTAGAACGAAAACGATCCACGTCCACACTGGAGTTTCATTTTTAGCTTTTCTGAAAAGATCTGTCCACTCTATACCATTCAAAACACACTCTGAAGATTTGTCTGACGTGTCCTCGAGAGTTTGTTTTCCATTTCAAACTTGCGAAGTCTGAACTTGCAAGGAAAGGATGCAAGACTGAACTTTGGACTTAATATTGAGAAAAAGCCCCAATCAGATAGACAAATGACTGTAGGCACAGCTCCATTTTTAGATGTCTCTGTTTTCCCTCATCTACGCTGACGAGTAGCAGCAGTGGTTTAAAACAAAAATGACCTCCAGCATTTTCAAAACGCAAGACGGGGTAGTGTGGACAGAAGGCGTAACTGTAGCAAAACGTGTACGTTTTAATACTAAAAGTATTAGTGTAAACGGGGCCTCAGCATCATCAAATCTTTGTTTGTTGTGAATACACACCCTCTAGTGGTCAATTATTCAATTTAATTTTTACACTTATTTTTACATTGACTTAAGACCACCACCAAAATCAATTTCTAAAATGATTATACTTGTATATTTTCATTATCTGAATATTATCTTGAAGTTATTATGAATATTTAAAGAATGTAATAATATTACAAAGCATACTCTGCATCATGCTAATTCTAAAATTTTAGATTATTGTTATAAACCAACTTTAAGTTTAAATTAACCACATTTATAATAGTTATAATAGTTAATAGTTTAACCATGGTATTTGATGTAAAACTGGTTTTACAAATGATAGTGCAGCTTAAAAAAAGTGTTAATTTTACTATGATTAAAGCATGCTTTTTATTCTTCTTCTATTTATCACTTTTTTTTTTTTTTTTTTTTAAGTTTGATCCATTTTTATGAAACGTTCTAAACTAACATATGTTGGATTTTTATAAAGGAATCACGGTAGAATATTAATTTGGTTAAATGACACTTAATGTACAATTTAATCTTAAGTGTTTTACTTTTTCTAGGAAAATCCATAGTCAATTATTCGTTTTAGATGTGATTAACAGGCTGCAGTGTGTCACACACATTCAAAATGTCACAATTATTTTAATTTCTAATACAGCTGTTCTCAGTTCCACACTTTCGCATTTGTTTCAGGCTGAAGTTTGGCTGAGTATTAGGTTTGTGGGAGATTTCAGGAGTTTTCTAATGGGGTTTAAGTCTTCAGAGGAATAATGCAGAAGCTACTCCATCTTTAGGTCAGCTTGTGCTACAGACAAATAATGGACCGAAAACCTCCAAACATATATTCCTACAATCCAGCACCAGACTGCATGGCCGGTGGAAATGCATTATTCTGCATGAAATGTATATAAGGTTGATAATGCTGTTTAGTTAAGGAGTGTATACTTGACTATAGAAGTCACTAAATGAAGAACATCACTTAGGTTTTCAGTCTTGCTCTGCTTTTTAAATGTAAGGTTTGCAATGTTCTGAGGTTTTATACTAGTTTTCAGACTAACTTCTGCAATTTAATTGTGTTTTCCTGTTTTTCTGCTCTCTGTAGATGATGACTCAGGATCTGCTCCCCTGTAAGTGATCTCTTTTTGTTTTAAAAGTATTTAGATATTTCTCTGTAAGGATCTTCAATGCTGTTAAAGTTATGAGAGTTGACTCTTGTACATATGCACATAAATGAGGAAAGTGACATAAGACTGATTTTCAGGAAGAGCAACTCCGCTACAAACCACAAAGACAAAAATGTCCGGCAAAGAAACTCCAACTGAGGAAGGAGAAAGGGTGAGTTTGTCTAAAAGTAGAGTAATGCAGCAGAATTCATTTTAATTGTTAATTTTAATAGTAATGACATCTTTAAATATAAAAAATAAGCTGTGATTATTGTTTAATTTGCATTTTCTTTTTGATTTTTCAAAATTCAAACCAATTAGTGCTTTTTAATATTTATCTCACTGTTTTAGTTATAAACTGTTCAGTAAATTCTACTTAATTTAAGAATGTTTTTGTTTCTTTTAGTTACTTATCTGTATCAATAATTTGTAATCAAATACAGATTACAAATTTTAAAAAAATGTTGAACTTAATTTTAAAACCTAATGTAAACTTGATTTTACACTACTGTTACTGTAAACTGTCCCGTTTAGAGCGTAATATATTTACAACACGTATATCACACCACACACTTAAGACAAACATTAAACAATATTAATGATTTTGAAAAAAGACACTACCTCTTCCCATTAAAATTTAGCAGATTAATCGCATATGGAAGAAATTAATTTAAATCAAATAGTCCTTGCCAAAGGGACTCTATACAGAGATCCTGAGGGAAGGATTTGAAATGAATCAAAATGAGAATGGGATTTATCAGGTGTAATCTGGTATAAGTTTATGTTCAGGTGTTTATACTAGGGCTGTGCGATATGGTGAAAATGCAGTCTCGATAATAACTATCCATATTGAACAATAATATATATTTCGGCGAGGCAGTGGCGCAGTAGGTAGTGCTGTCGCCTCACAGCAAGAAGGTCGCTGGTTCGAACCTCAGCTCAGTTGCCGTTTCTGTGTGGAGTTTGCATGTTCTCCCTGCCTTCGCGTGGGTTTCCTCCGGGTGCCCTGGTTTCCCCCACAGTCCAAAGACATGTGGTACAGGTGAATTGGGTAGGTTAAATTGTCCATAGTCTATGAGTGTGTGTAGATGTTTCCCAGAGATGGGTTGCGGCTGGAAGGGCATCCGCTGCGTAAAAACTTGCTGGATAAGTTGGCAGTTTATTTGGCTGTGGCAACCCCGGATTAATAAAGCGACTAAGCTGACAAGAAAATGAATTAATGAATGAATATATATTTTGCTACAAGTTGTTAATGTTTCCGGATTTAAAAGAGGTCCACAAGAATGACTGACGCCTTAAATTAGAGGGTCTATTAAATGGCATAACATATTTGCCTGATAAATTGTCGGTGACATAAATATTTGGTGCATTTTTAATATCAACACATTTGGATTCCCATTGTTGCACATTTCTGCAGTGAGATCAGCTCTTAGATCAATTTAGAGTAAAAGTGCAGAGTTTATCATTTATTGGCAAATTTTATCGCGATTCGATATAATATATAGTTTATTAGCCCTGCTCTAGTTTATACACTAATACTAGTGATCAATATGTACTATTTAATGTTATTTTAATCTTCAATAAATTTAAGGTTTACTTCAAGTCTAATAGGTTATGTTTCTTTATTAACTGCTTTGGTGTTCTAATTTAAGCCCACCGGCCACTATAGTTGTCGAAGTTCATGGTTGCCATTTTTCTTTTTATGAGTAATCTTTTACATGTTATCCAGGTTTCATTTCTCAATGACAAGAAAACAAACAACCAAATAAAAGAATTCAAGAAAGGAAAAAAAAAATTAGATTTACTTCCTGTCACATGAGGCCTTCAACTTCCTATCTCTAATTTCAGGATGCGGCATGCACTAAATTCCAGGGGTTTCATTACCATGACGTAAAATGGTCGTGGCTCGATCGGTGTAGTTTTTATAATGTTATATTTTAAAGAATTTATTCATTAGAAAATGCAGCTGACCTCGTTTTTCTCCGTTTTACTGTCTCTGGGCTTTTGTACTTGCATTTTAAACCAAATAATAATGGTTGTGGTAAGATTAACCGTGTTTTGTAGTTTAAAATATGGTATTCAGTCATGTTTAAACAAATAAATACCACATTTTCTGTAATAAACTGTGGTTAATTTTTCTTACTCTCTTAGTTAATTAACATAACTCTTATTTATTTTATATTTTTATTTGAAGTCATCATACACAAAACAACTGAGATCAGGACAGGTATCTGATGTTAATGTATATAATATAAAAGTGGTCATACATGAAACCCCTGGGATCAGGACAGGTATCTGATGTTACTGTATATGATATATAAAGTATTTTACACAAAAGCCCTGGAATCGGGACGGGTATCTTAAATTATAATTGAGTAATTAGTATTGATGTAATCTGAGAGGTATCTTAAGTTAATTTGTTTAATATAACATACACTGACTTCACATGAAACAATTGCGATCAGGAGAGCTATTTTGTACTGCATATAAAAGGCAATGGACACGAAACCCCTGCGATTACGTACAGGTATCTGAATCAAACGGCTGTTTTCACAATCTGCGCATGATTCGTGACCTATGCAAATTCACAGATAGGCCACGCCCACTCTGACGTAGTAGCGGTTACGCTGTACTGAAACCCCTGGAAAAAAGTGCCTGCCTTCAGGATGCAAACCCTCACAAATAAAGGCAATTTTCATGATAATAAAAATATTTCTTTGTTCACAAATGTTTATCGACGTAATCATGAAGGTCTACTATAAAGTTAAACTTTTTTTTTTTTTTTCATATATAATTTGATTCACAACCGGGAAGAATAAACTCCCGCTGAACTCTATACCCGGTTGATGTATAAAGTATGCATCAACTAACAGGCTAAATTTATAAATTAATATTAAATACAGATTACAAATTGAAGCCATTGCTATTTTAGCAGCATGTTAAACTATGATTTTTGAGATGTATATTACACTCTCCATCTGTACGTTTACAGTCTAATTTAATGGTTTAATAAATGAATGTTTGTCAGTAGTATTACTGATTGTGCAAAAACTTCAGTATTTGAACATTTTAGTATACTATAGATTTTAGGTAGCAACATAAGCTGTTAAATCATCCATATTTGTTTCTCCTTCAGGTGTTTTCATGACTGCTGTTGAAGATATAAAGATCGTTGAGTTTGAGTAGCACAATATAGTGCGCCCGGCAACTTCACCCTCTGCTTGAGTGTAAATGTCTTGATGATGATAATAACTGGTCTCCTTTTACTTTTATTCCTATCCATACTGTGCTGCAAGCAGACCTTTTAAACGTGGGTTTAGGGAGGGTGGGGAGGGAAGTACTGCATGATTGTATTGCTGTAGAAGTGTGTGTTTAGTGGAAATCTCTTAATGTGGGAATAAACTGTTTCTCTTTATTTGATTTTTATTTTTGTCTTCCTGGCTTTTTCACTGTTCTTCAAGTGTTCACAAATACAACAGTTCTGATTCTTTGGCAGCAGTCAAAGCTTAGCTTCCTTGTTATTTTTCTGTACGCCTTAATGTTTAGCCACTTTATTGTACATGCTGTTTTTAATAACATACAAATAATTTAAGCTAACTTTTATGTGCAGTACAGCGTATTAAAGTGCTCTATTCCACGTGGATGGTCAAATGCCACTGTTTTTTTGTCTAGCTAACAGTTTGCCATTGAATAATAATAAAACAAGCATATTTTCAGGCTTCCTGTGTTAACCTTTAGGACCAAGTGTTAGTACGCTGTGCCATTTTGCTCCTTGCGTAATCAGTTACAAGTTCTTTTGCAGAATCTAACATGGAGGACAATGACATGGTTGTGTGTGGAATTTTAGTGAATGCTTGTTGCTTAAATGATTCTCCTATAGACAGTCATACTTTTGCATTGTGAAGTATAGTGTCTGGATGTGTGCCATTTGCAAGTTAAGAGATAATTGTAAGACCTTGTTTAAATTATTTTTGCCTTAGCGTCATAGGACATCTAATACACTGTCGACATGTACTGACTTGCACAATCTTAAATAAACTATTTGATTTTGACTTGTCTGTGTCGTGTTGTTTGGTGTCCAGAAGGAGGCGCTGTTCGCTCATTTGTTGGCTTTGTTTGTAGGGAGCGGCTCTACGTGACGGAGCTCACAGCATTGTTGGATTGGAAACGAGAAACCACTACTGAATTTAAAGCAGAAGACTGTTTTTAAAGCCTCGTAAACTTTTAGAATTAGTATTTATTCATGGGGCCCGATTAATAAATAAACATTTATTATTATTGTTGTTGTTGTTGTTATTATTGGTGCTGCCTTTGCTTGATGATAAACTCGTCGTAGTCAATTTTCGCGAATATTTGTTTTCACTCAGCTGATAAAAGATAGATGTTGTTTCTGTCAATGCCAATGTATGCGAAAAACTAAAGGTAGGCATACAAAGCAGTGAGACTATTGTTTTATGAAAACAAGAAATATTGGTGATTTTTTTTTTTTTTTTTTTAACCAAAATGTGTCACGTGATTGAACGTTGACCTTTATAGATGCGTGAGCTCAAAAAATTGAGAAATAACACATTTCAACCCTTTATGTGCTGTTGGGGATGTTTTCATTCACTGGGGTGATTTTTGAGTCTTCATTTGGCCAAAATGTTTTCTGTCAGCCAGCGGAATGAGTTTGGTGACCAATCTTATTTTGACACATTTTGAGAATTATTTTGAAAAAGTTTTAACTTAAAAAATACACTCTGGGTAAATTCACTTCCCTAAACATCTACTAAATTAATTTGTTGTAAAAATGCATCACATGTCCAAAGACTGTGATAAAAGGTTTAAAAATCTAGTCCAATTACTTTACATTGAAAACAACAATTTTTTTTTTTTTTTTTTTTTAATTTCGTTTTTCTTTAAACAAACCAGTGACTGCTTTTATGAACTTGGCAATTAAAGAGTTAAATCCTGTAATTTTCTAAACAATTTAGTAGTTTTGATCAGGGCTGATAAACAGATTTATGCAACAAAAAAGGCACTTTATGCAGTTTAATTCAGTAGATATTTTCATCACTAACATAACAAAAGGGTATTAAATTTCAACTGCACAAGGGTTAATTCAAACGCTTTTCAGGTCAAATACAGTGATCCATTTAAATCTCAATATTCATGTTTCAAACTTTTTTTAACTTTGGAAACCTGACTGAAAGTAGTGCTCAAGTCTTATATTTTAATCAATCCACAATTTATATACGTTCGTAACCAAAATACTTTTAAAATAGTTTTTTTAATATCTAATCTGTTTACAGACATCCCTGTTACTCACCGATTACATGTGCTAAAAAAAGTATCACACTAACTTGTACATTAGCAGCCTGTCTACATATTTGTTACAGTGAAAATGTACCATAAAATTTTCAAATATTAATGAAGCCATCATACATTTTAAAGTCTAATTTCAGGCATCCTCACTCATTTATCAGGTTTATAATACATAACCAATCATCTTAAAAGTATTACTAACCTACATTTGTACATTAATCATAAAAGAACATTATTTACCCTGAAAATGTTACAAGGTAAAAAAAATACAGTTTTTTTCAACTTACATTCATGAAATCAAAACAATTTTTTATAGTTAGTTCAAGGATACTTAAAGAGTTAAATGCCTTCTCTGGAACACAAAATAGGAGGACATCTGAGAGCTCTATGACCCTCCAAAAACAGAACGTTTTCTAAAAAAGCTCCCAGAAAGAAACTGACAAAAGTTGTCTGTGTCGTCAATGGTTCAACCAATTTTTTAAAGGTACGAGAATACATTCCCCCCAACAGTTTCTTCTCATCTGCATCAGTTTATTTCAGGACACCTGCTCACTAAAATTGCACAAGTGTATTCTCTTTGGGTCAGAAAGCTCTTGCATTTCATCATGAGTTCCATATTAAATTTGGGTTTTGTAATGCAATGAGGATAATTGAGTAATTAATTACAGAATTTTTGTATGAAGTCCTTTAAAATCCATTCAAACCAAAGACAAATCTATAGTGAAAACAATAGACATGGTTTTAACCATCATTATACATAAAAAGAAAAAAACGACCCGCTCACAAAAATGAACAATTATCAAATATCTCACTTTAAATGCTCAAGCTCTTTACAGAAGGGTGGATTATGAGTGGCTGTTAACAGTTTGTTTATCAAAGCATCCCAACTGCCCTGAATTTAATTGACTCAACAGTTGAAAAACAGGAGCTCTCTGCAGTTGGTTTGAGGACAGTCATGCTGAAAACAAAGTAGCTCAGTGAGGACCTGCAGTTCTGCAATGAGGCTGCCCATAAGTCAGGAAAGGGCTATAAGAGCATATCTAAATGTTTGGAAGTTCCTACTGTGCAAATTATTACTAAATATTAAAAAAAAACATTTTCACTGAAAAATCTCGGAAGTGATAACTGTGCTGGCCAGGAGGACAGTGGGAGAGGTGAAAGAAAAGTATCCAAGGATAACCACCAAGCACAATCTGTCAAGAATAGTGGTGAGAACCTCAATAACAACAGCAGATGTCTGCAGAAAAACATAGCCTTGGGCACCAGTGGACATTTCAGTGGACAACTTACAGGAAAAATGGTAAAGAAATGGTAAGCAGACGAAAACATTAATGATTTGCTGTGGCCCAGCCAAAGTCCTGACTTAAATCCAATTGAGAGTCTGTGGAGGGAGCTAAAGATCAGGATGATGGCAAGGAGACCCTCATCCCTAAAGATGAATCAGCAAAACTATGAGTGGAGACATGGAGAAAGTTTGTCAACAATTCATCACCTTAGAATTATAAGGTTCTATCTGCGATCTGAATGATTTTGAGATATTGAGCTTCAAAGTTTTTGCGTTCCATTTAGTAAACAGTATGTGTAACATTTGTTTTTTAAATAAAAAGTCTTGAAATGTAAACAACTTATAAAAAAACATCCCATAATGTAAATAAGTTGTTAATTAATAAATGTCAATAACTCAGTTTTGACAAAAATGTCAGATAGAATTCATTTTCTTTTCGGCTTAGTCCCTTTATTAATCTGGGGTCGTTAAAGCGGAATGAACCGCTAACGAATCCAGCCTTTTTTTTTTGCAGTGGATGCTCTCCCAGATGCAACCCATAACTGGAAAACATCTATACACACTCATTCACACTTGTTAACCACGGACAATTTAGCCTACTGTGCTGTGAGGCGAAAGCACTACCCACTGCGCTATACTGCGTCACCTTCAGATAGAACATTATAATTCTAATTGAGGATTTATAGGAAGCATTTGATTGCTGTAATAGCCAATAAAGGCTTTTATATTAATTATTGAGAAATATGCAAATCATTTTGGATATGACACTTTTTGTTCAAATGTAAATAAAAGCTGAGAAGCAATTTTTCTCCACAATTTCTCTTGTACAATGTCTTATTGTCTTTTATGAGAAGCCCGTGTCATTTCTGGTAAAGAAAAAAAAGTCTTGGTGGTTGAATGAAAATTCTGCAACTAAAACAAAAATTAGTTTGATTTATTTCCGTGCAATTTTTTTCCCCATCTGATGAAAAGTGAAAACTCCAACAGCCAATTAGAATCCATCATGAAAGAACTTGAACATTTAAAGTGACAGGTATCCTACTTCAGTGTGGAGCTAATATATGTTAAGTTGTTTACAGTTAGCAATCCTCTTTGTGTGAAAGAGCCTTAATGACAAATTTACTGTGCTAAAAAGTTCTAAGTATAAAAAATAAGATCTAAAATACAACTAAAATTAAAAATGTTGGATTCTCTTTTTGCACGATATATATTTTTCCAATTAGAAGGACTGGAACCTTTAAAGCGACAGGTGTGCTACATCTTTATGGAGCCATATAGGCCTAGTTGTTTATAGTTAGCTGTCCTCTTTTCAGCATGAAGGCCTTGATCATAAAGATATTTTTCTAGAAATTCTTCATGTAAATAAGTTGTACAACTAAAACGAAAACTGCTAGTATCAATTTCTGTAGGATTGCTTCCCAGCTGAATGGTAAAAACACCAACAGTCAATCAGAATCTACCTTCAAATAGCTCAATAGCTCATATAATATCATATGATCAGGGGTTAACATTAACACCCGTCTACCCGCCAAATGCGGGTAGATTTCAGCTGTGGCGTGTTGGACAGACACCCCCACTAGTCACTTAGGACGATCAAAAATAATTGAGAAAATTAATAATTGAGAAATTAAATAATTGAGAAATTTTTTTTTTGAACCCGAAACTGAAAGCGAGACATGACTTTTAAGGGACTGTTTCATATGGATTAATTAATCATTATTCAATGAAAGCAAACTGTCGTAGATTATTAGACGCAAACCCCTCACTGCGCGACAGCTGCACCTTCAGCAAACCACCTAATGCACGAGGACTTTATGATTGTTTATCAGTGTCAAAAGTGGCCGATCTGTTCGGCAAAATATTTGACTGCGTCACTGCATATAAAACGACTTAAACGATATAACTGAAGAAATCTCTACTGTGCTGAGCGAAAGCGCTTACTGAACAGTGCATCATCGATGATGTAAGCGTGCCTAGGCCCAAATGTAATGTGAGTGCGGGAAGTCAGGGGAGATGGGAGGGGGGCAAGCGTGCTTTGAGCCAGTTCAAGGCAACTGTACATAGTGTGAGTACACCCTTGGTGTCGCACGCACAGCTGATGTGAAGCGCATGGTTGCCTAAAAGCCCCTGCATCCCATTTCCTTGCATAAAGCAACCTGTGCCTAAAAACGCAACTGGTTTTTCTTTTAAATAGACTGGAAAAAACGGTGCTCGTGCAACCACATTTATGCTGCTTTTCAGAGCTCCAGATTTTATGTAAACAGCAGCAGTTGCCGCTTTCACTTTTACCATTCTTTAAACAGATTAATAATGAGCCTAAAAACCGTCTGTGTGTGATCATCTTTTCATTATCACACACAGTATATTTTTCACCGGCTTTCTTTTGCTTACAGTTACTTATGTTAATATGGTTTAATTATAATTTTGCGTTAATGTGAGATTATATATAGTTAACTGGTAATCTGGGAATTTCAGCCAGGACAGACTACTGTGTATAGTTTTAGATACATGAAAATAATTTTTTAATGTCAATTGTTTTGTTTTTTTAAGAATATTTTTGTTGAATGAAAAGTATATCTATACAGCTATATTTTGCTTGTTTTATCACAATATTTAAAATTTGTGGCAAGGAAATAATTATTTTAGTTTAGCCAGAAAAATGGTAAAATCTTAGTGTTGAGACCTAAAAATTCCTGTAAAATAAAATTAATCTATTTATTTATATATAAATGCTCATCCTTATTGAACAAGGTCATACACAACACACACAAAAGTTAAATGAACAAGCAGCTATGAGGACATAAAACAAAATTTAAATCAAGTAAAATTACAAGTAATTTTAACATGTTAAAGTCAAATTTATACATATTAAATATATTTTCACAAAAACAAAATTGTGGCTAGTAAAAATAGTGAGTGGCTAGTAGCATTGGAAAACTACTAGCCATAGTGCCTGGTGATCAAAAAAGTTCATGTCAAGCCCTACATATGATACATCATAGTTGTTTATAGTTATGCTCTTTTGTGTAAAAGTCCTTAATGATAAAAATATCTTTAAATCTATGAACAAATAAGTTCACAGTCAAAACGAAAATGATTAATTTCACATTAAAAAAACAGTTATATTTATAAAATTGTAATTTTTTTCAAAGTCATTCATTGACTTTGATTAACTTTAGAAATATTCCAGAAGTCTACTAAACCAATTGTGCGAATTTAACATTCAACGAGTGAATGTCTCATTACTCGGACCATTTTCCCCCAGTTTCTCATAGACATAGTTGCCATCCTCCTGCCTTCATCATGTGAACTCATGGCTTGTGATGCGTTTCCAGGTAAGGGAGTGATCGAGTGCAGCCATGTCAACGCGGCTGCTGTAGTTGTGTCTGGTGACATTGGCACTCGCATGCCCGCGTCTGCACTTTCGTAAAATCTGGCTGCGTCAGGATTCACCCCAAAGCTCCCTCGCCGCCGTCATGGATGAAGCGGAGGACGGCGATGAAGACCACAAAGAGACTCGCAGGGGCGACATCCTTGACTCTTCCTCCAAGATGAAGACTGTAGCGCCAGGAGGGGGAGCAGCGAGCAGCAGGATCTCCAACAACAAGGACTTCGCCTCATGTGGACGCAGCACGGAATCCGCCGCGCTCCTCGGACACGGAGACGCTTCCCGGAGCGGCGCTCATTCTGACGGCGAGGATGCCACCGGAATGAGATGCGTGATCAACGGAGACTGCCGAAGAGACGACAGCGTGTGCTCAGTCCTCTCCAAGCTGGAGAAGCAGACAGGTGGAGGCTTCCCAGCATCTGCATGTCACTCCAGCACCTCCAGCATGGACGGCTCGGTCACTCCTGCCGCCGCCGCCGCTCCTCCCGCGGACAAGAAGGACTCCAGGGTGTCCTTCTCCAGCGCCGCACCTGCGCACGGACCGAGTCCGAGCAACCCAGCGGGCAATTCCGTCAGCTTCTCCAAGTCTGAGGATGGCCAGATCACGGCGGAAGATGGGGAAGCCAGGGACAATCAAACTTACATGCAGAGGCAGTTTAGCGCCATGCTGCAGCCCGGGGTCAACAAATTCTCCCTGCGTATGTTTGGGAGCCAAAAGGCAGTGGAGAAGGAGCAGGAACGGGTCAAATCCGCCGGCAATTGGATTATTCATCCGTACAGTGATTTCAGGTAGGGCTGATGAGATGGAGGGACGCCACTGGAGACTCCATACCTGGTTGCAAATGCACACGTTTCAATGCACAGGTGTTATTTTAGAAAACAGGTGCCTTTCTGGTTTAAAAAAAAAGAGGAGAATTATTATTTTATTTATTTGTAAAACGTATATGAGATCATCCTGTATTGATAAATATTAATATAATAATATTAAGGTGAAGTAATTAATAAAAAATAAAAAAAAGAGGTAGCTGCTTATGATGCCATTACACTTTTGGTGTACTTATGATGCTATGACATTATTACACAGAATCAACAGAGATTTATGAAGTATGGGGTTTTCAGACTGGTCCAAACCTGTAAATAAAAAAGTGCTATCAATCAATCAATCAATCAATCAATCAATCAATCAATCAATCAATCAATCAATCAATCAATCAATCAATCAATCAATTAATCAATGAATGAATGAATGAATGAATGAATAAAAAAATTAAAAAATAAACATTTGTTATTAAGACAGGTAAGCACACAGTTATAATAATAAATAAAGAAAATAATAAAATAATTTAACACAAAATAACAAAATAATAATAATAAAATAAATAATAAAATAAGATTCAAATAAATTATACAAACGTGAAATAATTAAATAAAATGATAAATTGTTTAAATAATAAAATAAATTAACATAAAATAATATAATTGAATAAGATTCAAATAAATTATACAAACATTTGAAATACATAAAATAATAATAAATAATAAAATAATTTAACAAAATAACATAAATAAATAAGATTCAATAAATTACACAAAAATTTGAAATAATTAAATAAAATAATAAATTGTTTAAATAATAAAATAATTTAACATACAATAATATAATTATGTAGGATTCAAATAAATTATACTAACGTTTGAAATAAAAAAATTAAATACTAAAATAATTTATCATAAATAATATAATTAAATAGGATTTAAATGAATTATACAAACATTTGAAATAAATAAATAGATTAAATAAAGTAAATAATACAAATAAAATACAATTAAAAAAATTATAATAAAGCGTATATATTTTCCCAATAATATTTTAGAGCATGAATAAAATTTTTGCACAGAATAAATTGGGTCTTTAAGAAAGTTTTAAAATAATACAATTTAATAGGGTGATCATTTGCATGAGTATGATCATATTTGGGGGCCCACTGCATCTAAAAAATTGCAAATTTTTAGTTGTGTTTAATAAATAAAAAATTGAGAGCTGTGCAATAATAAGGATAAAAATATTTATTTAAAATCAACCCATTCTGACAAGTTACATTAAAATGTAGTGATTAAGAAACAAGGAAGTATTTCTACACTTTAAAAAAAGAACAGAAACAGAGTTAACACTAAAATTTGCATAGACCTATTTCATTAAATCATCATGACTATTTACGATTAGTACATTAACAAATTAGGAGGCACTTAATTTCTAAGTAACAGTAATAATAATTAATTAATTATTAATTAATAATTAAGTAACAGGATCAACATTTTAAAGCTCATTTAACCAGAAATTAAAGTGCTGATATTTGCGTAATTTTTACAAATATCTAGAGTTCAGTAATCACTTGTACAAATTTATGGTAAGCGTTCAAATTTACAGAGCATTATAACAATATAAAGTAATTAACAAACAAGGAAACATTTAGGTCATTATGCCATTTAAAATGTAGCAACTAAGAGTTGAAAATTGATTTAGCCATTGTGCTCAAAGTTGTTATTTAGAAACAAAACATATTCCTGATATTTTATATATTTTGAATCAAAAATCTAGTGCATCATCTGTATACTGCAACAAATCATAGTAACTGGGTGAAGATTAAATGATTTACACACAAGGTGACACTTTTGATCCCAATATATCTTCAAAATTTCAATGAACAGTGTTGAGATTTTTGTAAAATATCTAGCTTTCAGGTGTTTACTGTACACAAAGTTTAAGATATAGACATAGTTGACACCTTGATACTACTAATAACATTTTAAAAAGCAATTAACAATAATAGTTATAAATAATAATTATAATAATGATAGTTCCTTACATTTATATAATGTTTTACTAGACACTCAAAGCGCTTTACACATTGGGGGGAATCTCCTCATCCACCACCAGTGTGCCACATCCACCTGGATGACGCGATGGCAGCCATATTGCGCCAGACTGCAGACCACACACCAGCTGATTGGTAGAGAGGAAACAGAGTGATGAAGCCAATTATGAAATGGGTATGGTTAGGAGGCCATGTGGGCAAATTTGGCCAGGGTTAAACCCCTACTATTTTTCAAAGGACGTCCTGGGATATTTCACAACCAAAGAAAGGTATAGAGTCACCTTCACCATACTGGGGCGTTAGGACCCACACAGACTACAGATGGAGCACCCCTTGTCTCAACTAACACCATTTCTGGCAGCAACCAAGCTTTCCCATGGGGTCTCCCATCCAGGTTTTGACCAGGCGCAGCCCTGCTTAGCTTCAGTGGGCAACCATGAGACATAATCTGAGAATTTAACTGAAAACAAATAGAAAGTGCGTTTTCAGATTTCAATTTAGATGGACAATTTTGTTAATGTGCATGTCCACAGATGGGTTGATCCATCTGAATATTGAATAAAATGTATTGTTGGCCATTCCCACAAATATATGCACACAACTTTAATCTACTTTTGTGGTCCACATTAATTATTTAAAATTTGCAGTTCAATTTTATATAACAATGTCAAATACAATAATATTAACGTGAATAAGAAATCATAGCAAGTACAAATATATATATAAAAAAATAGGTGTAGCCTCAAACCCTCATTGGAGGATGAGTAAGTTACAACTATTTTGCATATTGTCTAAAAACTGGCTAATTTATAAGATATTAGTACAGTTTTACTCGTATGAAAATGTAAGATTTTTTAAAAACAGGCATAGCCTCAAACCTCACCCCTAAACCTGTCAATCATTGGAGGATGAGCAAAATACAACTATTTTATGTATTGTCAGAAACTTGGTGAATTTGTAAGAAATTTGTATGATTTCACTTGTATGAAAATGTACATTTAAAAAAAAAATAGGTGTGGTCCTAAACCCCACCCCTAAACTTACCCCTCATTGGAGGATGAGTAAGTTACAACTATTTTGCGTAATGTCAGAAAACTGGCTAATTCGTAAGATATTAGTACAATTTTACTTGTATGAAAACGTACGAAAAAAAATAAAAAACAGGCATAGCCTCAAACCTCACCCCTAAACCTCTTCCTCATTGGAGAATGAGCAAGTTACTACTATTTAAGTATTGTCAAAAAAGTGGCAAATTCGAAAAAATGTACACGATTTCACTTGTATGAAAACGTAAATTGTTTAAAAATAGGCGTGGTCTTAAACCCCACCCCTAAACCTATCAGACATTGGAGGATGAGCAAGTTATGCTAAAATGTGCAAATGAGATCATACAAATTAATCACCAGATGAAAAAGTTTGAAATTGACATGAACTAACGTTGTTATACATCACGCCCAGACGTAACTTCACAAAAACTGTTCCTGGACCAGCTCTCAGACAGGCTGGTTTTGTGTGTTTATTGGTGATGCTCAGTTCAGTGGTTTGTTTGTTTGTTGTGAATGATGGAGTCACCTCTGTGGTGTGTTTAATGGTCTCCCAGGACACGACGTTCCTCAAATACGCTTCTAAAACAGTCAGAAATCTCTGATAAAAGCTCCTAAATGTGCTTCGTTTTGGCAGTTGCTTGAGCATTTTTACTGAGAAGGAGACTGAGGACAGGTTTAACTGAGGATTGGTTAAACTAGTGTTTTCCCCTGTCATATTCTGAGTCTCTAAAGAGCGCCGGTTAGCAGCTCTAGATGAGCTCTGTGCTGAGGGAACAACTCATTTTATATAAACAATAAGATAAGAGATATTTATTATAGGGAGAGAAACAAATAAGAGAAATGATACAAGCAGTTTCGGATATCAATCATAAGTCAAAATAAATAAATAATATTAATATTAAATATAAATAAACTATATATATATAAATGTAATGGAGGCCAGTTAGCGAAGTGTTATGCAGGTAAATCTAACTCCTCTGACCTCTAAAGGTGCTCTAGAGTCAGACAGGTCATGGTCTTTAGCCTCCTTGTTATAGCAACCTACTTCTACACAAAGAATCACTGGTTCGATCCCAGCTTAGACCGGGTTAGGTGCAGTAGGACCGGTGGGTTACATACGGGGGTTCATCCGGGATGGGAGTGATGTTTAGGTGGGTGAGTGTAACAGGGGCCAGCTAGCGAAGTGCTGTGCAGGTAAACCTCACTCCTCTGACCTCAAAAGGTGCTCTAGTGACAGACGCTATAGCAGCCATGGTCTTTAGCCTCCTTGTTAAAGCAACCGACTCCTATATAAAGAATCGCCGATTCAAGCCCAGCTCACACCGGTTTTGGTGCAGTAAGACTGGTAGTTTACTAATAAAAATAAATACTTTTAATCATAATAAATATTTATAAATGGGCAAATTAATTATTCTCTTTCTTTAAATAATACTCTTTCTTTACAAAAGTATTTATTAAAACAAAAATAAAGAGTAAAACAAATACAAAGAAACGTTTTTCTTTTTTTTGTGTATTATTGTAATATATTAGATATATAACATACTGTATTATACACATTGTTTCAGCATTAATATCGCAATGTTATCATTCACAATAATCACATCGGAAGATATGCCATGTTGAGTCTGGATTGTATTTGATCCTTTGCATGTGTTTTTGAGGCCGGTTACTGTATAAGGTTTTTAAAGGCATTCAGGCATAGGAAATTGTACAGTCCTTTACATTATTAACAATTCATTTTATTTTTCAATTCTTTTAACTGTACCTGAATAATGTTAGGATGACGTGGTGGTGCAGTGGGTAGCACGTTCGTCTCACAGCAAGAAGGTCGCTGGTTCGAGCCTCGGCTGGGTCAGTTGGTGTTTCT